TGTCGCCATACTTAGGATAAGGTTGACCGCTTGCTAATTTAAAGGAAAGCCAAAGGCGAGGAAAATCTTGGTTCCACTTCAACCTATGGCTACCCGCGACCGTGCTTCCTCCTCCGAGAATTCCGAGAAGGGCGGACTTAGTCCTGTTGCGCCGTCCTTCACAGACGAGAAGAACCCTTCTTTGCCTCCGCTGGGTGCACCGATAAGTAGTTCGACGGGATTATGGACGCGGTGGAAAAGGCCTGCGCTAGACCTCGACAGCATAGCTACGCAGCCAAGCGTATTCGACGACCCCGTTACACTGGAAGCCTATCGCCCTCCGCCACAAGTCAGTGCACTATCTGCATTTATCGATTCCCTTCTTATCTGGATTGCAGTATGAGAATACACATCGCTTTGACCCAGCCGCTCGTTGGACTTGGCGGGAGGAAAAGGTTGGTTGCCCATTTTCCATCTGGATGTTGCTGAGAGGCCACAACTCTAGCGTGTGGTTCGCAAAATTGATCTGCGCATTATGATTTGGGCAGGTAGGTCGTCGCGTCTTTTTAATTCAACACTCGCTTTACCATCTCACAGGGCTTATGTTCTTCGCGTTGGACCTCGATAGAAGCAACATATCCCAGGCGAATACGGATAATTTTCTGGGAGATCTCAAGATGACCACGAATGACTTTAACCTCGGGAATACTCTATTTCGACTTTCTTTCCTACTTGCAGGTTGGTGATTAATTTATTCAGCCGGGTTGAGCTGATTCAAGCCAATCAGAACTGCCTTCTCAGCTTGTCTCAAAACGCGTTGGGCCCGATAATTGGATTCCCACCCAGGTCTGTATTACTGCGAATGGGCTGTTCCGTGTACTCAATCACTATTTACAGATGGTCGCCTGGAGTACCGTCGCATTCAGTCAGTACTGGCTGCAGGGAAGGAAATCATTCTTAGCTACGAGGTGCGCCTTTAGCATGGCGTTCCATCAAACCAAACTGACCAGAATCATCAGGTTCCTCCTGGGTTTCCTACAAGGCACTTGTAGTAACGCGGATCGCCCCTCTTATACTAACTCTTAATTAGGAGGATTCATCCCGGATGTCGTGCTGTACCTATCTTATTTCTATACTAAAAACGAACGTAAGTCAGAGTACCAAGCTGGTTCAACTCGGTATGAACAGTTTTACATCCAGTTCCCATCCGGCTTGCCTACTTTTGGGTGTCCAATTATGTGTCCCACATCGTCAGCGCCTTCCTTGCTACGGGGATTCTGCGCCTTCGCGGCGTAGGAGGACAAGCGGGCTGGCGGTATCTGTTCCTCTTAGGTATGGCAGTCGCAGAACTTACCTTCGTTCTCGCTCATTCCTGCTTGCTTGCAGAGGGACTCCTAACACTTACCCTTGGCCTGGGATCCTTCCTCATGATGCCGGTGAGTTCGTTCACACTTTTGCTTGTTATTTTCTTGGCTGATTCCACCAAACAGGCGGGTCCAACCCAAACGAAAAATAAATATTTGAGACCCAAGGGGTGGTTCACTGAGCGGCAAGTCGAATTCTGTAATTGTCGCTTAAATGCTTACATTCACATTGTGTGGTTCAGGGAAGAGACGATTATGGTCAACAGGTTAGTGACACCACGGCCGACTGGTGACTTGTAGTTGAATACGCCCCGCAAAGAGTATTGCGAGATGATCCCTCCAAGTCTGATATGCACAATCGAGAGGGACTATCGCCAAAGAGCATCTTTCAAGCCTTGAAAGACTGGAAAATGTGGCCTCTGTACTGCCTTGGTCTCGTCCACATGAGTGCGTTGGATTAATCTACATGCTATTCCTGCTCAGCGTCTCGATCCAGTTCCCACTGGGCCGCCTCAGGTCAGTTTTGGCTGCGGAAGTCCAAGCAACATAGCTGACCGCAGAACACAGATTTATTTGACCCTATCGCTCAAGAACCTAGGCTTCACGACGACAGAATCAAATCTTCTGACAATCCCGTCTACCGTTATCGGACTACTCATGCTTCTGTTCACCGCATATCTCAGCGAGATCGTCAATAGTCGTGTTGCCGCCACTATCGTTCTTCAGCTTTGGGCGCTCCCGCTGTTAATCGCTCTCTATACGTTTGACAAGTTCACGTCACAATGGGTTTATTTCGCGGTGGTCACATTAGTCACTGGTTTTCCTGTACGTGTAATCGCTTTTTCTGCAACCCTTAATTGACGGAAACCATCAAGTACGTGCACCCAATACAAGTTGCATGGGCTTCGAGGAATTCGTATTCCGTGCGAACGCGGACTATCTCAGCGAGCTGTTACAATATGTTTGTGCAAGCCGGCGCCATCGTATACGTTCGTAGAGTTTTTTGTTTTTGCTCTTCTCTGTGCCTGACTAGCCTGCGTTCAGTCAAACATATATAGAACCGATGATAAGGTTAGACCTCTTCGAGTCGCGTTCCCAAAGAGTCTCATACTGACGAATGCTTTTGTCAACCTCTCCAGCCACTCTGTACGCAATCCATTAGGTTTATTCCACCCTCGTTGCTAAAAGTATGCCACAGATAAACGAGGTAACCGGGCACTTATCGGAGTCTGTTCTATGAACATCGTGCTCTACCTTGCAACATTCTTTTTCTATCGGACTCTCAACCGGTTACGAGACAAGAAATGGAACGCATGGTCGAAAAAGGTTAGATTATTTTGAGCTGTGGAGAAAACATTGTAAACTTTTTACAGGAGCAGCAAGACTATGTTGAAAACACGAAAGACGTGGGAAACGAGCGATTAGACTTCCGTTTCGCATACTAAAGCAATGTAAAGTTTCACGAGACGTTCAATTTATGTTTACGAACTGTATCTGCCTTTTTTTCTGGCAAGGAATATGTTTTGAATATGTAGTCTGTTCGACTTTGGTTAATAGGGGTTGATGGCCAGCCCTGTTGTGGTCTGTTGTCTAGTGGCGGCCACCTCAAGTTCACTCTTTCTATCATGCTTGTGCTCCCATTCGAGCTGGAACGTGCAATCTTTGAACTCACCCTCAGATCTGACCCCGAGAATGCATTTTTAAAGTTGAATCTCAGTTTGGTTGCTCGACGCGTCCAAGCTTGGTCCGCCTTTTCTTGGAATATGGGTCATAGCATACTCATCCCTCACATCACTCAGGGTTGACCTCATTTTCTACAAATTGGTGACGATATCAAGACCCAAAAGCGCCGATACATTCCTGAGCCTCATCGCGCTGAAGCCTTACGGGGTTTTTTGCGAGGACCGTAAAAGCCCTATGCCTCGCTTACGCTGTAAAAACAGACCAGGCTTGTGGTATCCTTTCTGCGTGCACCGGAGTCGAGGTCCTTGCCTGTTGGGTTAACCAGCAAGGCTGCCAAGATCTCCCACTTCTCCTCAGCCGGCTTCCACTGCGTCATCTTTCGATCGAGTTCAAGCATCTTTTGAACGTACCCCACACACCCGCCTGGCTTTCAAATCTCACCCACATCGACCTGTCCTCTGGGATGTCCCAGCCTCACAATCTCGTACCTCCAGTCTCTGTCAGAGGCTGCCCGTACTCCCCTGATTAACTCATCTCGCCATCAGTTCATCAGACACAGATTTCGCGCTATACGCCAAAGCGGCCTGCTCGCAATGTCCCAGTCTTGAAGTGCTGGCAATCATGGACACGGATAGAGAGAAGGCACTGGCTAAGGCCTGTTTGTTCAATGATGCCCGCATCGTTCTGATTGACGAATTTATCGATCCCATCGGCAATTGGGAGGCCACATTTTTTGGTGGTGTTAACGTATGGTCGCTTGCTGAAGACATTCTTCGACAACGGGCTACATGAGGTGGCTCGATGAAACAGCTATTTTCCCTTTAAACCCAATGAACGGTTTGGTGGTAGTCAGAATCAGGATCACTGCTCGATTTCTTTGGCTCGAACTAATCCTCCGTATTCATTCTCAAGTTCTTGAAGTTGAAGACTACAGTTGTTGCCGCTCCTCGAGCTCAAATGTACTGCAGCTTAACTACTAGCAATCATTGTTCAGGCCGTCTCATTGCACTTACAGGAACGTCAATAGGAAAGAGGGACGCCTCGAAGACAAGGATGGCACAGGTGACGAAACATTGGCTCTCACCGACCTCACCCTGAGGGACCAGAGCACAAAGGAATTTAAACACAAACCACTCCATCTCAGTGGACTCCTCCGAATCGCTCGTTGTTGGGCTGGACAACCAGTCGGCAAAGGCACCAAGTAAACGAAAACGGAACCCGCCCAGATACCCTATTACCAAAGTGCCACCGACGATCCCGAAGTGGAACTGGGAGGGGGAGGCAATTGGTCGGACCCAGGCGAACCCAGGCAATTGGGACGATCCAGACTCTTCGGACAAAGTAGATACACACCGCAAATAACAAGAGTTCAATGTTGATGTGTGTATTTGTTCTCGTAGTCAATCTATATCCTTCGAACCTACGACAGTCTTGTGTACGCACAGGGACTACACACTGTATCCTCGGCAGATGTAGATCCAACCCCAATGCATATGCCAGTGGTGGGGTGGGAGGCATTTCTGGGTTTCCACTCGCTCCAGACAGCTTGCAAGCTGGACTGCACAGAAGTTGTAGCTCCCGGTTCAGAGGTATAATCGGGATTATTAGTTTCCATGGAACAGGAGCGCATTGGGCCGGTAGAAATGTGGTTTTCAGATGATGCAAAGAAAAGATAATTGAACGAGTACTCAAGAACCATTGACAGTCATTACAAGTCATGGGCTATTGAATTTTTGGGTCATCCAGCCGCAAAAATAAAAATAATCCAAATTTTGCCTATCCGACCTCAAAAATTCCAGCAAAACAGTCTACATTTGAGAGTTCCGACTTTATTATCAACCGTTCTGCAGCGCTGCAGCCTCGGCCCATCTATTTTTTTTTGGATAACCTCCGGCTTCGCCCTCCTGGTCCTGCTATTGAGAGACGTCTCAACGAATGGCAGGACAGAGGCAAAGAAAAAAAAAGGTGAAAAACTGATTGGAGTGGGATTCGAACCCACGCCCCGGAGGACCAGATTACCTGAGTAACTGAAGCTTCAACTTGAAGCTGATCCTTAGTCTGGCGCCTTAGACCGCTCGGCCATCCAACCATGATAAAGTTTGTCCATCTGCCATTGGTATGTAGTGCTGTTGACAGCTGTTCTGTCAGCCGTCCCTATCATCCAAAGTTGGACATAAGTACTATATTGCCCAATGGTCTGGACATGCACAATGGGTCTGGACAGTCGACTTTTCTCCTCGGCCTGTAGCCCTTTGCTCCCGGTGTCTTCCGGAATCAATACATGCACTTCTCAGCTACTATTGTGTGAAATTTCTAAGAGAATCGTGAACGGGAAGGGATAGAAAATCGGTTCCCGAACCATCAATTTTGGTGATCTGAACGGACATCCACCAGTTTTTCTCTTCCCTGGCCTCAGAAAAATCAAGGGAAATTTGGAGACCATTCTGAATACTACATACAACATTCTGTTAGCCAATAATGTTTTACCGGTGGGTAATCGCTGCGGGTTGAGGAGAAAGAGAGCTTGGTCACACTAATGTCACGGTGACACTCGCCTGGAGCGGAGATTGAATTTGTCACGTATTTCCTCAATCCTGAACGACCACTGCCCGGCAAGATATTCCGTATGGGCAGAACGATTTATTTACCATATGACAGTGCCTCAAAATTTGCCTCGATTTTTCTGAGGCCAGGGAAGACAAGAACTGGGGGATATCCATTCAGATCACCAAAATTGATGGTCCGGGAACCGATTTTCTATCCCTTCTCGTTCACGATTCTCTTAGAAATTTCACACAATAGTAGCTGAGAAGTGCATGTATTAATTAAGGAAGACACCGGGAGCAAAGGGCTACAGGCCGAGGTGAAAAGTCGACTGTCCAGACCCATTGGGCAACATAGTACAACTTACAAGCACCTGACCATTTTCGTAACCTCTACTGAGCTGCATCAGGCTATATCCCTTCAAATCGTCTTGGTAGTCAAGTATTTGATTTTTCATCATGTGGTCTGATATGCATGCTTGTAGATGCTTGTCGGGGCTTGGGGGAAAACTCGAGTCTCGCATCAAGTTAATAGGGCCAAGGGTCCAGAGTCAGTGAAAATGGTCAACAAGTAATATTCTGTTGTACCGACAAATTGATAACTTTGACATCTCCGGAATGACCATATTTGGACGAAAGCGTAGGCCTCGCTACTTGTAGCTACTTGTACCGGGTGTGATTTTCTGTAGACAGTCGTTCAGCCTATAACGAAAGCGTAGTGTTGATAGTTGTGTTGAGTAGCGCAGCCAGTTCGTCGCGACCGGCCGGTCTACCTCGTCTGTTTGGTGCGCAATGTCGGGTAATTGCGTGTTGGGCAATCTGAATCCGACGCGCAATGATGTATCCGTACGTCGTGGTCATGCACTGCTTCAAGTAAGATCCTTCCGCTACAAAGTTCCATTCTATTTCGTTAGTCCATTGAATAATCTACAGAAAAGAGAGACTATAAATTTTGCGCTTAGGCGCTCATACGTATACCGGGTTGTAGCTAGGTCTGAATAAATAAAATAAATTGCAGATCACTGTAATCCAATGATATCACCGACTCACACTAAAGTGAACCCCTCATCACTGTCTCTATCCCCGCCTTCCTCATCGCCGTCCCCACCACCGAGCTCGGCCTTGTATTTCCGCCACAGCTCTCGCACTGGTTCCCCCGCAAGGCGTACCCAGACCGCCTCGTCGTAGTCCACATTTAGTAGTGAGGCGTTCAGCGCGCGGATCGTCCCCACCCCTGCGTGGTCGTCGACCCAGTCGAGGAAATATCCCGTTGTCTGGTACCCCGCGTCCCACTTGTCCCCCGGATTTACCTCGCGCTTCCAGTGCGGCGGAGCGAGGTCCGCGTGCAGGCGCACAAAGTCTGCGGGAATCAGACGAGTGGATGAGTACCTGTGCGAGCGCTAGCAATTAGGAAGCGGACCGGCAATGCCCTCTATGAGCCCCCCGGGCGCGGTGCCATTTGCATTGTGCTGGTAGCAGTGGACGACCTGGCGTCCGCGCCGATCAGTACCAGCCACGGCAGTTAATCATTTAATGGGAGAACCTCGTGTACGAGGACACCCATAATCTCATCGCGGGCGCGGGAGGCGCTGTTCACGATGTGGTCCAACGACAAGTGGATCTCTTTTTCGGAATGAGACCCGAACGTGTATGCGACGCCGTCCATCGGACGGAGCACCAGCAGGATTGTGAGCACACTAGGTTGGTTGAATACGTCAGTTGCCATGTACAGTAGACGGATTGGAGGATATTCGGGTTCGCTAGACGTACTTTGTCGGTGCACACGCTGGCGTGGCATATAGCCATTCGAAGCTGGCGAGGACGGCGGCCCGGAGGGCGTCGGCAGGCTTGATGTGTTCGAAAAAGAGGGTTGCGCCGGGGTGGGCGAGGTCATCGACGCGGATGTTGAGCTTGGGTAACGGCCATTCGGGCGGAGGTGGGGGAGGTGGAGTCGGAGGCATGATTTCGGATTTTGTCACACTCCTTATCTTATCTGACGGGAAGTTCACCGCCACCCCCTTTGTTGAAGTGTGGATTTGGAAAAAAAAAAGCATGTAACGTAAATTTTCTGGGGAAGAGATGCGGGGAAGAATAGATCCAATTCAAAGCAAATACTTACAGCAAGTAGTGGCTGAGCCTGTGCTCAAAAACTAGTTTGCAATTAATCTACAGAGGTTTCCAAATTTGGTCAACGGTTCAGCTCAACGTGTTCGATCTTGGATGATTGCATGAAAAGATTCGGGATAAACATTGGCGATATGAATCGCAGTGCATCGACCGCAGCCCAGCAACACGGGATTGCTGATAACGGTGAAAGTACTTCCGAAACTTTCCAAGTTAATGAGACATTCGATTCACGCTAACAGCACAGATTGTGGACCCCAAAAAACCTTAATTAATCCGCCATCCCACTGGCTGTACATCTATTACACACAATAATGATAATTTTGAAGTCGCTGTCTTAGCCGGACGTTAGTTCTGGGGATCTAAAGATACAAAAAGAGCGGACGCACCGTCAGACAGGGATCTCAGTTTAATGGATGCCGGCTCCACCGTCGCGAATACCGGCGGCAGCCTCGACGCGCATGACCTCGTCTCTCATCGCTTCGCGGCCCTCCTCGAGCCATCGGATATACTCGACGGCCCGAAAGAGCACGCCGCTCTTCCCCTTGCTCTGGCCCTTGCTCCTGCTGCCACTTCCCTTTGGCCGACCTCTCTGGGGCATCCCAAGCCCTCCCCCAGATCCGGCCGGCGATAGTAGCGATATCAGTTGGGCGTATCCGTCCCGGATGGCGTTACGGCGTTTCTGCTCCGACATGATGTGGTTCAGCCTCTTCTGCGGTGTCGAGAGAAGTGGTTTCGTGCGCGCTGCGGGTGGTGTGGGTGCAGTTGCAGAGTTTCCTGCGCTCCCGGTGGACTGGTCATTGGCGTGCCCAGACGACTCGGACGCGTTGCTCGGCGTTGCGCTGTCGCGTCGCGGCGAAAAATCGCGTGTCCGCTGTCGTGTCCGTTGCTGCTGCTGCTGAGGGGGTGGTGCGCGGGTGGTTGCCGAGCGAGTGGAGGCTGAACGAGTGGACCGTCGAGGCCGCCCGGAGGTGGATGGTTCGGGTGCGGTATTGAGATGAGGATTCGAATACGGCACACGCGGTGAAGTGTATGGCTGTTGCTGCTGCTGCTGCTCCTGGCCCTGACCCTGACCCTGGCCCTCCCAGCCAAAGTCGTTGAAGTTGTCGAGGAAACCGAGGAGGTCTGTTGTCTCTGCGGCAGAAAAGAGGTCTGCGGACGCGGGAAGCGCGGAGTGGTTTGGGAAGAGGGACGGGTCGAAATTGAAGTCAAAGTCGGGGAATGGTGGTGGGGGTGAAAGAGGCATTGTGGATGGTCTGCTGGTGTTGCATCAGGATGAAATGGGTTGCTCCCAACATAGCTCCGATCCGGCTCAAACCCGGCTATCTTCATACCGTTGATCCCACATCATGATCGAGTGATCCCATCAGCTTCCTGATGCCATCAAATGTGACCGTCCGTCGTTATCTGTGACTCCGGCGGTCGACCGTCCTTACCGTAACTTTACGGTCCCTCCCCGCCCGCCGGCGTCGAAATGTCCGAAGCGCCCGAACAGTGAGTCTCCTTCCCGCGCCAATTTTTACTCTCCGCTGGAATTGACTGTATACGCTCATGTCTTCAGTGATTCTATGCAACTAGCGCATCCCTCGCATGCCCCACACCCGCAGAACCCACAGTATGCGCAGGTTTCGCAACAAGTCCAGCAGGGCCAGCAGCAGGGCCCACAACAGGGCCCTCAGCAAGCTCCGCAGCAAACACCCTCTCAGTCTCCAAGTGAAGGGACGACTCGGAAACGTGCGTTATTTTTTTTTGTTTCCAAACTTTTCGGGTTCTGAGTTCAGTCCGATCGCAGCTAAAGGTCCTTCAGTGCGTCGCGCCTGTGTAGCCTGTCACGCCGGCAAGACGCGCTGCAGCGAAGTTCTTCCATGCCAGGCCAGTCAGACTACTTTAAATAATTAGCGTAGCTCATCTCGCTACAGAACTGTCTTAAGCGGGGACTCGGCAACGTCTGCGCGTATCCCGATCCCGAGTCGGACCAACAGCATGAACGCGCCCCCACGGCAGGCGCGTCTCGCTTTCCCGCTAATCACAAATCAAAAACTAAAATAATTTCACAGTCACCCCAGAGTCCGCGTCTGCAGCCGGAACGACGACGTTTGTTCCGCCCCCGCAGTACGCTGCGTCGCAAAGCGCAGGCCTTACCTTGAGCCACCAGCAGTACTACGACTACAATGGTGCCTTCACCGGCGCGTCGTCGTCGACCTTCCGCCCCGCGAAGCGTCCCCGTACCTTGACTGAGGAAGAGACCGCTGCGATCACTCGTAATTTCAGCCGCGGCGACTTTTTTGTCGGCAACAGCGCTCCAGTGCGCATAGATCCACGGTTGCCTGTGCGCCTCACTCTCGGTGAGGGCGACCATGTCCAGTGAGCCTTTTAAGGTAGCGGCCATACATGTACGGTTACCCCACGTGATTGCCCAAAA